CCGGCGCCTTCGGCATCAGGGCGTTAAGGCCAGTGACTCGCGCGCGCTCCGCACTGCGCTGCTCGGCAAGCTTCAAATTATCCTGGCGGGCACAACCTTGATGGTTGAAGGCATCATGTTGCGAGTGTTGGACATGGTCTCGCAACTCATTATTGATGAGGCCAGCATGGTACCTGAAGGCCAGTTTTTGGCACTTTGCGCAGGTCTCCCCCACCTGCATCAAGTATTAACAGGTGACTGCAAGCAGTTTCCACCCTATCACGCCATGGTCCCCTATAATCTTATTCCGTATGGCGCACGGGACGCCATACAATCGATAATGGCGTGAGATGTGATACCAGTCCACCGCCTCTCGCTCAGTTACCGATCCCACCCGTTTATTACGCACTGCCTCTCGCAAGCTTCCTACGGAGGATCTTTCCACTCAGCACTAAAAGCATCGCAGCGTACAGCCCTTACAAATTCCTCTTTTCCTTTGCCGGCAATGGATGTATCGCTCGTGTTGTTGCACAGTAGGGTCATGACGTTGTGGATCTTTGCCGATCTCTGTGTAATCCTCAACATGAGGATCTAATCCTACATTTGACGGATCTTTTAGCACATCACGCACCGCAGGCCAACACTGTGGTCCTGTGCTTTTACAGTGATACCAAGAGAATGTTTGAGCGGATGCTGGAGGGCAGACGGTGCAGAGTGTTTACAATCGACCAATTCCAAAGTCAAGAGGCGCAAATCGGAATTCTGGCCACTATAGAGCAAACAGGATCAGGAGTTTCTTTTTTGATCTTCATCGAATAACTGTGGTCTTGTCCTGAGCTAGAGGCGGCCTGTTTCTGGTCAGTAATTTTACTTTGCTTCAGGAAAGTGACGTCTGGTGGCGTTTTATCAGCACAGCGACTCGCTATACGCCAGCTATGTTGCCCGCCTTCCTTGAGGCGGTGTAAGAAAATTTCGAGTTCCAGCGCGACCATTCAGGCCTGCTGATTGCCCCTCGCGATGGTTTTATTTTGGACTATGAATAAGGAGTTCTTCGATCGGTTGCAGGGATCGCAAAATATTTTCACTTAACCTTAAATACGCTTCCCGACACAGTCCACACACATATCAGAAATACACCGCACATCAAGCGAGATATCGTACTGTCATGTTATCATTTTCTTCTTTACTTTTGCAGATTATAATGTTTGTGTGCTGAAGCAATGTTTTTAGTTCGTACAAATTTTCCTTGTGCCTTCATTCTTTTTGTATCATGCTATACTGTTGCTTATTGCTACTGTGACAACCATGGTGGAAGCTATAATACCGCTATCCCTTCCCCACTTCATGAGTACCTTTCCTCTTTTTTTCCCCTTTTCTTTTTCCTGTTTTTCTTTTTCTCCTTTTTTCCTAGGCAAATTCACTTAAATTCCTTCTTTTTTACATAAATACAGAGTTATTATATTGCTCACATAATATCACTTCGCTATAAATGTTCATAAGTTGACATTAACCCGCAAGTCTCGCAATGTGCGAGCACAAGGCTTCTGTTCCTTGTCATAGCATATCGTACACGACCCAAAGTGGAGCATGACTCCACTTCACTAAAAACAGTCTGATTTTCTTATAACTTTATACAAATATATTCAAAATTACACAGATTTTGAGACCAGAGTCGGTCTCGTAGATAGGGTGGAGATATAAACATAATTGTATGTAAACGTTCCCTAGTTTTTATATAACATTCCTTCTTTTTGTACAATGAGCCACTGTCGTACACCCTTCCCATATCCCTCCTTTATCTCTCTCATCATTAACATTTTCTTTTTTTATTTTAGCTTCTTTTCCCATCAAACAACCCTTTTTCATGGGCCTCCTATCTGGCGCTATCTCCTATTTACCGGAGGGGCTCACATTCCTTCTCTTCCGCTGTGGTACCAACTCTCCTTATTTAAACATCCCATTCTTTCACTCGGGGTCTTCGTCATCGATCGGGGTCCACGTTCGTCATCGGTCTTGTGCGGTTTGAGTTCACCATCGTCAGTCCTCCTAAAACGTCGTCTTCTTAAGTCCACCCATAGGACACACCGAAGTGCCCTGCTCGTTCACGCAGCCTCATCCCCCTATTCTGAATCCATGGCTGTCTTTTTGGATGCCCCAGTACGTAAGTAATTCATAAAAATTAATTGTTTTACTCCTCGCACTCACAACACATAAACAAACGCACTTCAGTCCATCGCACTTCAAAGTATACCGGGATCTCGTGGCGGACACGTAAAAATATTCTCGACGCAAGCGACTTTGGGACTTAGCCAGTCTAGAAGCGTCCCTGTCCCTGCGCGATCCAGTGAATTTAAATTCTGCTTCCACGTAGTTTACGTTGAGCGCACGGACACATAGAAGTTAACGCTAAAAATTTAATAACCCGCAACCGAAAATTTAGAGAGCTGAGATTTTGTGAGCATGGTTCACGATAACACGCCGGAAAATATACCCTTTCATGTTCTACGTATCATTCCTCGTTGACGTTGACAAATTATTCCGCAACTGAAATAGCTAGAAAACGAGAATTCTTGAGCTTGGTCCACAACAGCGTGCGAATAAGTATATATGAAATCAACCTTCACGTACTTCCTCAATCTCAAGTAAGGATGCGTGGGAAATGACGACTACTTTTTACCTTGGTAACTACACTAGATGGAAACCGAGATATTGTGAGCATGGCTGACGACCGCACGCCATCAACTAAGCAATCATTGGTGACGTGCACCGGGTGGGTCCGTGCGATCATGCATTTTTGCAGTATTTCGTGCTGATGTAAGGTCGATCGCTTGAAGTCCTAGTAGCTAGAATTTACAAATACTGGTCCTCAAAGTTCAGGAAATTAATTGTGCAACTACATGGTACTTGATCAGGGAAAATCCCCTCTGAATTTCAGCTTTCTGTCTTGTCCTCGAGTTAGCAATTTTGCCGTCAAAAACTTTTACGGGCCCATACGTGGGGACCACGTATATCTGGGGGCTGAGTTTTAAACATTTAAGTTATACATGGGCTGGGAAAATCTTTTTAAAATTTCAGCCTCCCAGCTTTCCTGGCTTCCGAGCTATCGATTTTCCTGCCAGGAACTTGAGGGGCTGTACGTGAGAACCATGCTTACGTGGGGGCTGAGTTTGAAATTCCAGAGTTCTCTGTGGACGGGAAACATAACTGCTAAATTCTAGCCTTCTTGCGGTTTCCGAGTTAGCGATTTTCCCACCAGAACTCCCACGCCGTCATACGCGGGGTCTAGACTTGGGAGGGTTTGGTACCGCGGTCCTGGGGCGGCGCTTGGTGGGGGAGTCCACTGGCAAAATTTCGGCGCCGGAGCTTGTTTGGTTGCCGGGTTGAAATACCCGGACAGACGCGCGCGTGCACACACATACAAGGGTTCACAATATGCATTTTTGCATTTGTATATATGCAAAAACGCATAAAAAATCAAACTTCACATTTTCTACATTTCATTCACGGACACGTGAAAAGATAAATTTGACAGTCTTATAAATGCATGACCAAGTTAGCTAGTGGGCTGAAATTTTGTGAACTTGGTCCACAACAGCGTACCTCTTGTGCGTGCCCGAAGGCTGTTCAAAATTAGAATTGCTATTCATTAAATCGTTTATGCTAACCACTTCTGTCCTTATCTTACCTTTAAGAGATCTGGGTCTGCTCTCAATGTCATGCGACGAATTATTGGGATGGGAAGCGTCAGTGTGTATTAAATTTACCTCGCTATGGTCTTTTATTACAGTACACTTCTCCCACCCTAGTGCTGCTTCTACACGCCGCCGTTTCATTCCGCCTCGATTCAGACGTCCAAATAAAAGTGTATATCGCTCTCTGTGGACTTCCTAGTTCGTTTCGCATTGTTGTATGAACGTTCATGAATTGGCAGTACTGGATAACTTCGCAAACACTGAGCTTTTTTGTTGAACGGCGAATTTCGAGCTTTGAACAGCTACAGACAAGCCGGCCAAAGAAAAAATGATTTCACAATGAATGATCTCAACAGGAGGATTTCCGTACTGTCTCGCTGCTTCCCCCGCTTCAGATTTGTTTATCTTTTGTCAGCCTGTACTGCACAATTTGCTACTGGAATGTGGAATTCTGTTGCCCTCTTTTCGGTTAAATATTACGGGAAGCCAATTTTCGAACATCAACAACAGCGTCTTGCGTCGCATCATTTCGACTATTTTCCCGTGCAGCGTCAACAGGAAGGAGTACCTCTATGTCGTCAAACAGAACATGAAACCAGTGCAATCCTTTATTCACATGCTGAATACGTCCTCGTACGATCACAAGCAGAAAAAAATGATCTAGTAGCAAGGTGCAACATGGCAACAGATCGGTCTGAGAAAATAATCGCTCCACGTACAAAGTTGCCGCGCAGCTTGGAGAAGACGTAAATTTACTGCGCACAGATAATGTGAATCATGCGAACCACAACGAGATGGGCGTTCATCACAAGAAACTGCATCGCGTACTACGAGACTAGACTGGCTGGTACACTAACAGAGAGGGAGAAGGGTAAAAACAGCTAGTGTATACGTGGAGGGAGCGCGGGTTCAAACTGGAAACTGGCAACTCAGGACAAGGGCGGTGTGCTGAGCCAAGACAGTAGATACATGCCGGTAACATCGAAAAATCATGATCAACCAACAGTAGATGGTGAATCCGCACTGATAAAATTAACGTCCAGTCACAGTGTGAAAAAGCATTCCTCTCTAATACGCGA